AGTGTGATCTTCATCTTTTGTGTTTTTCAGAGAACACAAACCTTGTTCTTCAGTTTTTTGGAAGTTCTTGAAAAACCTGTTCTCTGAAGAACAAGTTGTCCCCTATAGGGATCAAAAAACTTAAAGAGCAATGATTTTGTTCTTCAGAAAACTGAAGATTCTTGTTGTACAAATCTTTGAAGAACACACATATGATCTCTATAGGGGACAAATGAAGATCATTTTTTTTGTTTTTTGAAGAACACAGATTTTTAACAGTGTATGAGAGGAAAACAGAAGGGTGAATAAAAATAGAGTCATCAGATCTTAATTAAGCTTAGATTATCTCTTAGATTATCTTATCAAGACCTTACTAAGATAATTTTCACAAGTGTCTAAGATTCTTACTACGGTAGGATAAAATATGCGTAAGTATTGGACAGAATAGAAAAGAAAAAGCTAATGCCTGATACAAATATTGATTTAGTGTAACCAGTAAGATAACTCTAATAAGTCAGTCCGTTTGGCACTGATAAAACGACAGTTACAGTAGTGGCATGCCTGTTCCAAGTACATCAAGCAAGATTCCTCGATCAAAATCTGGAACAATTAAAATGGCATCCATCAGTTTCATCCAAATAAATGAATGTTTTTGATCATGTATGTCAGCTGCAACCATATATTTATCTTCATTCATGGCGGGCACTCTCCATTCTTTGAATTGAACTTTCCAGACACTGCTCTCAACCCATGCATGGTCTGTGTTTAACGGATGATCGATATAACCATTATCAAACTAAATACAATAGTCACTTTTGGTCCGATTGTTATTTTAAATTATGTCTACCTGATGAATTATACTCACTACACTCTTATTACATCCTTTCTGAGAGAATAATTCTTTAAATTCTTCTTTTATATCTTTGTCAGTTAGGACTTTTTTTAAATGGTTAGATTTATTTGTATCTTCGTTTAATTTAATTGTTTCATTCCACCAATAATCGAGTAAATTTGGTGGTAACATTTGACCTGATACTGGATCTTGAATGACTTTTGACATGTTATCGTAACGTATTTCATGACCATAAAAACCCTTAAATAAAACAGAGGGCTTAGCATCAAGGTTTGGTTGTGGAGTTAATAAAACATATACTTTAGGTAAAACAAGAGCATCACTATGTTGTTTGTGGCGCATTAAAACAACTTCTGGATCACTTAAATCTCTAAAATAAAAACACAAGAACAGATTATAAGGAGAACAGCAAAAATATTTTTCTTCACCTGAGTAAAACGATACAAGAACAATGATTTGGACCCCAAAATGGCAAATCGCCTCTACCAGCAATTCCTGTTCGACATACGGGATTAATGGGCACTCCATCGTGCACTTGATATTTTCGTTTTGTGTCATAGTCCATAAAATAACTTCTTAAATCATTCACGAATAATACAGTACGATTATCTTTTGTAAATGCATAACGTTCATTCCAACGAGTTTCATCACTTCGCTTTTGTTGTCTAAATCAAATTTGGAATCAGAGAATACAAACACTTATTATTTACATACTCTATACATACCGAATTTCATTGTATTGTGGATGTAGAATATTTGCATATTTTTCGTTTAAGCGTCTAATATTTGGTATAAACTCCGATGGATTATATGGTTTGTTTTCATCTGTTTCAACCATCCACAATGCTATATCACGGTTGACTTTAAAACGTTCAACGATTTGATCGTTACCCTTTAAAAAATATCGAGGATTATCATCACTCACTAGTTGCTGTTAAATTGTGATCGACTACTTACAGCTGGAAATCGATATGGCCCACTTGATGATGCACGATTGAGAAGACATGGATCCCACGGTCGAATAACAGCTTCTCTACTACCAATCATTGTCATATTGGGAAATGCAATGCCTATTTACAGCAGAAAAATAAGAGTTTGATGATATATTAAAATGTATTAGAACTTACTATCCATCATGTAAGAAATCTGATCGTAATCTGATGGAGATGATATTGCATTACGATAATTTGAATAATAATGTTTTAAATCTGATCGCCTTTCAACTAATCGTGGAATAGCTGAAACAAACACAAAAAATTTTAACAATTTTTTCTGATAAAACCAAAGAAATTGGAACAAAATACCCTTACCATTTCCGTCCTCAATTTCTAATGGTGTTTGTAGTATCGTTTGTAAGACTGGATGATTTTTTTGTTTAAAATTTTTCCAATGATCATTTATTGTTCGATCAGATATGAATAGTATATAACGTGACTTTGTCATGTAACAAGGTGGTAGTGCCAGTCCTCGTGAATATGTTATACCACCAGCACTGGCCTTTGAAGCAGTAGTTTGATCCAGACGATTTAATGACGAAGATATCGGGGATTTATTAGGCGTGTTACTTTTTGGTTGTGATGCCAATGGTTGTTGAAGAGGGGATGACAATGATAGATTATTTTCCGTTATTGATTGTTTTGGACTTTCTGATCGCTCTTTTCTCAGTGGTAATATACTGTTTTTATTCCTACACATTTCCAATACATTTGCTACCAAAGAAGATAAATCTTGATCTTGTCTGATGTCATCCATGCCTCCAATACGTTGCAAATATTTTTGAATATTATTACACGAAACATCTTCGCTATTTTTGATGATTGATTCTAATGATAACAAGTTTATCAACAAATTCGCTATTTGACCGTTATTGAAATCTTTATCCAAAAAAGTATCAAAGCTGAGTTGTTGAATTTTAAGAGAAAGAGTATTTGTTCATTACCAGTAGGTGATAGTGGTGATTGTGCGTGTAATACACTTCTTGTTTGTGATTGTTCTTTGTGATGATGTGTTGTGTCATTGTTGAATTGTTTCATTTGGGATGTCAAATAATTTATTTGTTCAAGTGATTTTTGCAACTGTAAGCCAGTACTATCATCAGTGAATGATCGTTGTTGTTGCAGTTTGATAATGTCAGAAAGTTTTCGAATATTATCTTCCAGAGATTTGAGACGATCATTCAAATCCTTTAAAGTGGCTGTTGACTGGTCCAATTGTTGATTATTTTGTTTTGATAATATACAATCATCAAGCTTTTTAGTTAGTTTATCAATATTCGTTCTGACATCATCATATTGTTCTATTTGTGTGCCATTTGCATTCAACTTTTGTTTATCCAAAGTATCTTGCAATAAACCTGAATAAATAAAAAAACTTTCCATCATAAATTGTCTATCGTCGATCTTTCAAAAATAGTGTAAAATTAATGGAAAACTGATGCTTGGTTTTAAAATCCATTCTAATTTATTACCTAGTCTATTTTGTAATTGTTTAATAGTATCATTCGATGGTCCATTTTTTGATAAATTAGCCAATTCGTCTTTAATTTCATGTTTCAAATCATCAGCAACTTTTTGAGGATTCTGTTGAATAATTTTTGTTTCCAATGCTTTGATTGCGTCCAAAATACCTAGAGATACTTGTAGCGGTTCTTGTATTTCTTCATTAAGATCATCGAGTTTCTTTTTTAAGTTATCATCGGTTTTTGCTGGTGTGACTAGAGCTTGCTGAAAAACTCGAATACTATCACTAATTTCTTTCAAATTTTCTGGCAGTTGTCGTTGAGACTGCACCAAATCATCTAACTTTTTGCTTATTTGATCGCTACGCTGATTCCATTCGCCACTATCACGTGTTGCTTGATGGTGTAATGAGGCCATTTTTGCCTCGATTTCCTTTCTAACTTGATCTGATTGTTGTTGTGCTGCTTGTTTTTGACGTTCGACGATGTCTGTAATTTTTTTCATCATTGGAGCAATACAACTTGTAATTTCTCGTCCAATGTCGATTGGAGGAGGACAAAGTGGTGGTTTTAGAGTGTCTAATTTTTTCATAATTTCATCATTAACGTTTGGTTTTTCTATAGCTCGAAGAATGTGATCAAGACTATATAAGAAGAAAGAGTGGATGAACCAACAAATGGATTAGATATCATTGATAGAGAAGCTAACTCATTCAATTATCTGTCCAAGTTTAACTAAATTAGTTCAGCATAAATCACATGATATTCTACAGAATTATACATCACAATCGTGAGTTCTAGTTAGAGCTTTACACAATTTGTGCCAGTCAAAGTGTCAGGCCAATATAAGTTTTTGCAATTTTAAACCTGATCAGACGAACGCATACCTGTCTAGAACAGGTTTCATTATGCTGGACGATTGTTTTTGAACTTGTGTTACATCATACATAGCATTTTTCAAATCCGCCAACTGTTTTTTCACATCATCATCATTTTGATGTGATTTTTCAAAAGTTTGTTTTAATTGTGTGATTTGATCCATAATAGATCGCATAACATCTGGCGATTGTTTTTGTGCTTGTACCATTGGTATCAAAACACTTTTTAAATTACTCACTTCTTTCATTAAATCATCATTTCGTTGGCGAATTTCATTTTGAGTTTTTTCCTTATCTTGTCTTTGTGACTCAATTACTGGTATTAGACGATTCGTTATATCTTTGGCTACATCCGGTTGCTGCTGAGTAAATTTTTGTACATTTTCATGCAATTGATCTACTTTTCTTGTCATATCACTTAAACAAGCAGATTCTTTTTCTTTTCCTTGTTGTTGACTTTGAGCCTGATTATCAATACCTTCAAAAAAGAAATATGAAAAGAAATTTTGACTAATAGAGTCATGCACTCAGACCCTTACAAAATTTACTTAGAAAATAATCTATTTGCGTACAAGAGTCGAAAGGAAAAAAGTCAGAACCCAAACCCATTGTTTGCTCAATAACTTCAGCCTAAGAACAAAATATTGATAGATATTAGTCTATAAGTTGTATGGGTTTGGATGCATGACTTCTTACAAGATTAAAGCATACAGTGCGACTGTTACACATACCCCAAATATTCGTGCTAAAACTTCGGCAAAGAGGTTGTGCCGGACTAGAACTACGCGTTGAACCTAAACTCGTTACTTCTATGACTAGAAAAACGTTAAACAAAAAGGCTGATATTTTTCAATATGTAAACGTTTTTCAAATCTCGTCGGTAACGTTCAATGTCAGAGAGAGAAAAAAAGTCTTCTCTAAAATTAGACTTTATTTTTGAAGATTTTGATAGTTTTCAATTTTGAGTTTTTTTCATCGTACGATTACTGAGAAAAAAGTAGATTTAATAAGAAAAGAATATAATTATTACCTTGATGAATTTGTCCAATTTCATTTTTTAATGCCTTAATTGCATCAGTTGTGGACGATTGTCTTGTTTGCAATTGTTTATCGATATCGTTTAGTTTTTGTGCTAAATTTTTTATATCATCATTTTGATGTTGTTTGTCCAATACTCGTAGAATGGGCTGAATCTGTGCTGCTATTTCTTTTGAAACATCTTGTAATTTAACGGCTTTCAATTCTTTTACGAGATCAGAAATCCGTTGTTTCAGTTCATCACTTACCAGTGATGTTTTTTCAAGATATGCTTGAATTTGTGCAATATGATCTCCCAAACGTTTTATAGCAACCTCGCTCGATGGTAGTTGTTTTAAATGTTTTTCAATATCATCTAATTTAACCACCCTTTTAGCTAATTCATTGAGTAATTGTGAATCATTAGATTTTTGTGATTGTTGATTACGTGCCTCTTTATCAATAGCAGCGTAAAACTGTTCAATTTTATCCTCGAGTGCTTTAATGGCACCCGTTGGATTTTGTTCCTGTTGTTTATCGACCGCTTTTTGTAATGGTACTATACGGGCTTGTACCTCTTTGAGAACAGCCAATTGTTCTTGTAGACCTGCTGGTGGTTGGCTCACTTGTTTTTCAATATCATTCAATTTTGTAATTAAATCAACATTGAGCTTTTTTACTAAACTATCATGATTTTTTGAATCGTCATTATTCCGCTGCAAAGCATTTTGATTTTGTTTTTCTAAAATAACACGAAAAAGAATGTACACATAAGTTTTGTCATAGTTTCATAATGTCAGATTTGAAGAATTTCATGATTAAAATATATCCAGACAGACTGATTTTAAATTATTCATTATATCTGATTTTGACTAAATACATGTTTTAGTAGATACAGTGAAATCTTACCACAGCATCTGTTATGAATACGTAAAAAAAGCCATCGACTGGGAACGAATGCAGAGATATTTGGCGTGCTTGATAAGAAGGGGAGACTTTTCTCTTCAACATGCGTGTCTACTGACAAGCATGCCACAAGGAGTATAGTGGTGACTAAATCTGTATATACGATCCACAAGGTTTCATTCATACTTTCAAAGTTTTGCCACGAAAATGTTTTGAAATGCTTTTTAGATCACATTCGGGGATTTAATAATCTTCAAAAGTTGTTTGAAGAAGTTAACATTTTAGACAAACGGATAGTATGAGAAGATGATAATAACATGTGGTACCTAGCCCATCAAATTTTGCCTGCAATTGTTTCATTTCATCAATAATTATATTTTCTCTCGGGTTTTGTTGTGCTGTTTTCTGCTGTGTCTGTATCAGCTGTTTAATATCATTTTTAACATCATCTATTTTATCTAGACGACGTTTAAATGAATCATCTCTTGCTTTTGAATCATCTTGAATTCGAGTAGCAACTGCTTGATTCTGTTTTTCCAATGCATCAATTTTCGTTTGTAGTTGTCGGATGCCATCGAGATTAGCTTGTGATAATTGACTGGCTTTTTGCTGATCTTTAAACCAAGTACTAAGTTCATCTAATCGCTTCTTGATCCCATCATTTAAACAATTTAATTCTTCATGATATTTTGTTTCATCTGATGCATGTTTAGCAATATTTTGAATGCTGTCTGTTAATGATGTTATGCGTAATTGAAGTTTATTAATCGCATCTAAAACACCCGACGGTGATTGAGTAGCCGACTTTTGTCCTTTGAGTATTTCATCAACTTCTTGTTTTAAATCATTTATTTGTTTGACAACTTCATGGAGAAGGGATGCTTGACCTACTGATTCAATTTTAATAACACATGATTCACCATCTCTATCAACCTTAATGTTACAGTCTTCTTTAGATTTAGACATATTCGCATAACCAAACTAATTACTTAAATAATGGAAACAGGTTTTTCAGAAAAATCATTTAAAAACCAGAATTTTTCGGCAGATTATTTTTAAACCATTCTTTCAAATTGAAAATAAATTAAAACCATGTCCTAGGTAACACTAATTTTTCGCAATGAAAATTTAAGTGAAAACCATATAGCGCCAAACACAATTTTGAACCGATCAACATTTAAATAAAAGATTCTTGAATAATAAAGACCTAATAACCGAATGTTTTGTAAACAGTCACTCTTTTATTAAGGGTACCCCTCCCCTCATTTTGGGCTTTCGGTAGAAATGCTGTGAAACAAAAGCTAAAAGTCACTAAGGCTTCATACTTTCAGAACGGATTGGAAACTCAATGAAGCACGTTTTGGTTTTTGTTTCAAGGTTTTAACTATTGCGGTTCACCAGTTTTCCAGAAAAGTCGTTTTTTCATTGTGCCACACTACGAACCCCCTTAAATTTCATCCGATCGAGTTAAAAATTTTACCACAGGTACTCAAGGTCATAGCGTAGAGGTATAATTTTAAAATTTTCTTTCAGACTTTTCTTTACCGAGTTATAGGGTTTCTAAAATTGAAAAACGTCTCAAAAACGAAGTTTTTCAATTTTAGAAACCCTATAACTCGGTAAAAAAAAGTCTAAAATAAAATTCCGAAAAATAACTCTGCAATAGTGTCTTGAGTACCTCTGGTAAAATTTTTAACTCGATCGGATGAAATTTAGAAGGGGTTGTAATGTGGCACAATAAAGTCCGGTAGCAAAAAAATTGTTTTCGAGAAAAAATGCTTTTTGTACAGAGGCCACTTTTTTCAGAGCACTTGCCGCGATGCTTATATCTCCACGAAAACTCATCGGAAAATTCTGTAGAAAATGTACCAAAGAGTTATTTAAAACAATTTTTAAGTGGTATTAATTATTATCATAATAATAAAATATTACATCGAGATTTAAAACCACAAAATATTTTAATTAATTGGATTGGATACTTAAATTGGCTGATTTTTGGCTTAGGAAGACAATTTCAATTGCCAATGAGAACGTATACACATGAGATAATCTAAACAATATTTACAAAAAAACAAGTACTCAAATTAATATCATTTCATTTTTTTAGTATATTCTCCACAACTTTGAAGAATGTCCCATGTACGGTTCACGAGATATTTAGCTTTTTCATTTCTCATGACCACTGTACAAAACTGTTACGTCAGAAAAAAAGAGCAATGGCGAATTAGGTACTAATGATGGTGGCACCATAGTAACGGCGGTCTCAGCTACCATATAAACGTTTGGAAAATCAGTTTTTTATGATCATAATTGAACTGAGAATGCAAGAAAACCTATAGGACGTTGTTTTTATCAAAACCCAAATTTAAAATACTGAGATAAAACACAAACATAGTTCATTTTTAAAAGTTCAATGTCTTGTGAATCTTACATGGAACATTCTTCAAAGTTGTAGAGAATATAGTTCATGTCTCACTCTATAATAATAATCTTAGCGATTTGTCGAAAAAAGGGAGAACATGTTGTCAAATTCATCGCGGTGCTGAACAATTCGCACTGAGCTTGGCGGGTATTACTAAAATACGCTAACACCCACTAACACCCCCAAATTAAAATCCGAGATAGCCGGTAGATAGACTTGTTGTTTGTGAATAAACAAACACCGAAAAAATTTATTTCAAAGAGGATTCTTTAGGGCTTTTCCGTTACGAACACCCACTAACACCCAAAAAAAGTGACACAACCACCGAAATAATATGCTAGAATAATCGCCATCCTTTTTTGAGATCACCTTTGAATCCATAAGAAATCTGATGAGAGCAGAGGTGGTCGCACCACTGAACTTTGGGGTGTGATCCTCCTGTATAATCAAAAATATTTTTTTCTCAATAAAAGTGATTCATAAAGTACAACAGAAGGACGGCCGTGAAATTCTCTACAAAACTTCAGCCTCGAAATATATAACCTATTGTTCTTCAATTTTTTTATTAGCAGCGACCGTTTTTCTAGAGGGTATCCCATAATGTATATGTTTAATAATTACATATTTAAAGCATCTTTTCAAAAAAAATGAAAAATCTGGAAAAGTTTTGTACAGAACTTACTCTTTATTATTACAGAATCGTTTTTTGAGGAAGAAGAAAAGACTGGCACTTCGTTCTTCAAGATTTTTCTGGATTTTTAGTCTTCCGAATTTATTTTGATAGATTTCTTTTCCGGATTTCAAAATTTCCTAATTTTTATTCTTCGGACTTTGAGACATATTTCGACATACGATACATGTCAGTTAGCATGGAGTCGGTTGTACTACTTGAAATTTTTATACGTCATTGCTTTGTCATCGTTGAGTTCAGACAATTTGAGACTTCTGCATAGTCCAATTCGCATACCGCAGAGTTGGAAACGGGGAAGTACGTGTTCTGAAATCGATGTAAAGAGCAAAACAAGGAATAGTAGGGCGTATTTACAAGCTATGACAGAGCGCGAGAGACGCGCTTGGCTTAAAGTTAGCAGCGAAAGATTCGGGTCAATCGTCGACAAGTAATACAAGTTCTTCAACAACCTCATCATTGACCTCAACATCATCGCTAATCGAATCACATCGTCGAGGATTACGAGCACACACCGGAGCTTTTCTGTTGTTGAAACATGAATCCCTAGTCGAGACTCCCGTCAAAACTCCCACGGGACTCCTGTCACGGGGTCCTGCGGGATCCTGTAGGAGTCAGGTGGGACTCTCAAGGGATTTCTCAGGACTCCTGAAGACTCCCGTGGGACTTCTGTGGAGGTTTCGAGTCCTGCGGGAGTCCAACGAAAGTCCTCAGAATACTCAGAGTCCCACGGGAGTCTTCAGGAGTCCTGAGCACAGTGGGCATTTAGGCGGCGTTTTCTGAAAAAATCGTAGGTGCGAATTTTTTTGTTTTGAATAGTGGTGTATATAGTATAAACAATTCCCTATTTAATGATAAAAAATTTTTTGTTCTAGCTCCTTCCAAAGCTGAGAAAACTGAATTACAAAATTACCATTAGAATTAGCCCGTTGGTACTTAAAATTCATTTTCTCCATCAAAGGCTAAATTTTTTCGAACAAAAATCACATTTTTAAAATCGTCAGGTGTTGGGCTTTCTAGACCTAAAAAAATATTTTGACTAGTACATTAAATTTTTGTGAAGGCGCGGAGGTCATATTCGGAATCAGCATGAAAAACTGCATCTAATGGTATATAAGCTAGCCGCCTTCGGCAAAGTATTGCTCAGTTTCTAAAAGTCGGACATTTGTGAGCATTTTTGTTAGAAGTTTGATATC